GCAACCTAGCTGTAGGTGTCCCTGTTCATTGCAGAAGAGTTGGACTAAATGACCTTTAACAGTCCCTTCCAACTCAAATGTTTCTATGATTCTATGGTTCTAAAGTTGGTGGCACTCAAATGGGTGACTCAGAGAATTCACAGCTGAATTTAGGTGTTCTCGCTTACTTTCTGGAAGGCTGCAGACAAACTAGTATAACTTGAGTTATGAGTGTAGCTTTTAATGATCATACCCTAGCTTATGTCTTTAAATATGCTCACTATTTTAATCCACGGCACTGCATTTACACACTTTGCCAGATGGATGTGTTCCATCTGTCCTTGTCTTCAATGGCATATCAAAAACATTAGCTCAGACATTAAATCTGTGCAAGGGTTAGCTGTGGTCGATAATTTTTTTCATCATCTGTCAAAGTCCATGAGAGATCAGTGATCTGGATAAATGCCACAGTGTTATTCTGACCAATAAAGGACAGAGAGGAAAACTGAGGGGGAGACTTATAAGGTGTCCTGCAAGCAACAGACAACATTTTTGATACATTAAATCCTTAAAATAATTTGGGAAATAGGAGTCAGAGTTCTGCAAATTGTCACCATTACTGCAGCTGGAATTAAGGGTGAACCAGTGCACAGGTAGCATTGCACACAATAGAATTTTCTATGCATTAATCACTTTAATTTCTGTGGATCTTGGCTCCTTAAGCAGAGTGGGGCAGAATCTTAAGTGCTACTACCTGTGGTGTAGAAGCCAGACAGATCATCAAGTGCACAAGGGCAGGAACACAGCATCAATAGGAGATGCCGTGCTGGCTGGATTTGTGATGATTGTCTCACTGATACACAACTGGATGGTACACACTTCATTTTTCTGGTTTTGCTTCTTGTTTTTTCCTAGCAATCCTTTTAAAGTAAGAGTTCTGCAGACATTTGGAAACAGTCTGTCATCATGTATATCTGTGCAGACTTTGCACCCCATCTTCTGAGTGAATCCCAGATAACAGGAATATTCTGTTAAGAAGAGATACATTCTGCTGACAAGGGCTTGTGTGCTTACACATGTGCCCAGGTTGTGACTGATAGATTCCAGAGGTATGTTAACAGTGTTGAACTGCCTTTTGCATTTTCCACTTGTGGTGTTGTCATATTGTGCCTGGTTTCTGGCTGCAGTTTTTGAGCTCAGCTGGTCAGGATTTACAGCTGCTCAGGAGTTCACCCCCAGCTCTTGGCAGCCCTGTTTTGATTGAGAATGGCTTTTCTCTTGGCTGGAAGGCATGCAAATTAACATGCAGATGAACAGGACTTTTCAGAAAGATGGGTTGATTCTAGGACATCTTGCTTTAGGGAAAGAGGTCCACAGGATTTCAGAAATGGAGAAGGGAGATACCAAGCTTGACTGTGAAGACAGGGCCAGCCAAGGACACTGTTTATTAGTGTCAGCAAAGGTGGTAGAGTGACAAAAGCAAAGGAGGCTTCAGTCAGAACCATTTTATGTCTTTTCCTCCTCTTAATTCATGCTTTGTCCCTGCTGGTGTTTGCTCCACTTCTTTCTCCACCTGCCACCTTGCTGACATTGCTTCTTCAGTTTTATGATGCAGCACCAGCTGATATTCACCTCATTAAGAGCAGTTTCTGATAAACAGCAACCATGCAGGTGCTCAGAAGCATAGTCTGTTCTGTTACGAACAGGATAAAGTTTCTCTTTGCCCTGTGTATATTCTGAAATATAACTGTGAGGCAGAAGAGCAGATGATCAGCTGAAGTCCTCCACGCATCCTTGGGATACAGCATTCACAAAACAACGTGCCCATGTGGAGCTTTTGCGACATGTTCTGCAGCACAAATTTGTGGCTCCTGAGCATCTGTGTTGACCTTGTCGAGGAACCATTCCTTGTGTGTAGCTGGAGGAATAGCTGCTCCCACTTGCACCTTCAGACACTGGGTAGATGAGTGACAAATAGGCAAAGCAATCCTTTCCATAGTCCTCTTGCCATCATGAAGGAGGAAATGTCGCTCCCTGCCACTCTGCGCAGAGCTGTGGCTTTTCTTTGAATGAATCCCATGCTAATAACATGTAGGAGCATCCGAAGTGAAATGCAGAGTGGGAAGCTGACCCTAAGGGAGAAACTTGGGGAAGCGTGATTCTGAGATTCTGTGGTCAGGCTCTCGTGGGGCTCGTGGTGTGAGATAGCTCTCCAAGGTGCCTGTCTGTCAGCTTCTCTGATGTTAGCGAGCATCACGATGTGAGCTGAGAGTGCTCAGAGCAGGAACAGACACCGAGCTGTGTAGGCACTCAGTGGTACCATGTGCTGTGAACCAGCATAACTTTGTGGGATTTGTACACATCTATTGAGGAGCAGCCAGAAAAACTGCTGCTGAAAACATGTTGCGACAGATGCGTGTTTAAAAGAAAGCAATTAGGCAAAGCAGCAATTGCAGCACAATCATATATGTATCTGCCCATCTGTAGATAATAACATTAGTAACTCTAGATGTCTTTTGGGAAATTCTTCTCCTTTTATATTTTATTAAATAATAATTTTCAGACAACTTAGTCATCACATCACAAAAACGATAAGGTATTTTTAACAGCGAATATCTTCACTGGTCTTTGACAAATATCGACTTGCTTTCACTGGAGAGATTGTTTACATAAGAATAAGGAACATATCCTTCAGAAGAAAGAAACATATGTCTGTCATTCTGGAAGTATCTGAAAGAAAGGGGAAGAATAGGAGAAGGAGAGATAAAATGGGAGAAGTTATAAATTAGGATATTTCAGTACAATTAGCTGCAGATATTCTATATATTTAGTTCTGATATTTTATTAATATAGATATTCTGATATTCTAAATATATATCATATACTCTGTTTTTATTCTTGATGTGCAGCATATAAAGAAACGAGTAATGTTTAAGACTTAGTATACTAAATTAAAAACAAAGGCTGAGTGATAGGCACTTGAATAATTTAAAGTCTAGTGGCAGACAGACTAAAATGATAAAAAGTGACATGTCTAAGCATTAATTGTGGCTTATACTTCAGTTTGCTTGCTGTTATTGTGCATTTTTTTCTCCTTGCTCATACCTAACTTACACAGAAAAGCTATTGCCTTCGTTGTTTCTGATTTACATTCTGAGTTCAAGTTCAGGTTTGGTCATTCATTCACGCTGTTAAATGCTGGTCTTTAATAAAGGCACTTCTTTTAATGGTTTACTTAGTATTTTTGTACATACTTTGCAATACTGTAAATACTAATCATTATCCTTAGCTTCCACATGTATAATTCTTTGGCACAATATTAAAACAAAGTACTCAGACTGTGAGACAAAGAAGAAACTCAGTTCCTATTCATAGCCCTGCAGAGATTGACTTAGCTTTTCTGATCCACTTTGCCGAGTGGGGTGACATCTCAGGCAGCCTGGTGCTGCCTCTGGTGAAGCTGGGGAAGACCCATCATCCATGAATGAGCATGAATAAGAACTTTGGCTATTAAGATTTCTGCCTTGTGAGCAAAAAGAAGAGTCTAGGGCTTTTGTTTGTTTCCTTTCCAAAGCAGGTTCTGATATTTTGATGGAAAGTACTTTACAAATGCAAAATAGGAGCACACACTTCCCAAGTAAGCAAATAAATAAGCTTAATAATGATAGTCACACCCATTGATTTAGTCACTGTACAGTCATAACAGATGGCAGCTCTTTCCCTGCAAAACCTCAGGATTAAGGGAGGACAGATGGGACAGGTGCAGCAAAAAGTGAATTTCCAGGAAGGATGAGGTTGTAGTGGTCAGTCTGAAATGCACTTATCTTAGCTCAGTGGTTATCTCACAACAGTGTAAGCTGCTGTTGGTGGTGCAGAAAAGAGAATTCTGAGATTGGATGACAAGAGAAATTAAAATTTAGCTTACTAGTTGTTCTCAGGGTCCTGCTCCCCTCCAATATAGAGTGGCATTAACAAAAAACAGAAGAGTAACCAACACTGCCACGATCCATACAAATGTTCAAAGAGTGGTTGGATCCTGCACTGTGCCACCAAATACTGCAGCTGACAGAAACCCAATGTTTTCTGTACCAAGATGAGTATTTTAATAGAAAGGATTATTCCAGTATATTAATAAATTAGTACAACCAAGTTGTGTGTATCTGAGCAGTTGCAGTGACAGTTTTACATAGCCTCCAGCCCTCAAGAGGAACGACTTGATCACCTCTGTTCTTTAACAGGAGCTAATGACTTTTGCATTTCCTTGCCACCTCCACTTGTAGGATGTTGCTAAAATTAAGAAAAATTGCAAACTTCCTAAAGGTCTGTAGGGAACGTAAGTTATTCGGTCTTACTCACGTGAGTCAGTGTTGTTGAAATGATGTGACTTTACAACCATTTAGAAAAAAAAGTGAATTTGAAGTGTTTTTAAGCTGGAATCTACTCTCCGTGTATCTGGAAGTGCTACTGAAAAAAATATATAAATTTGTTAAGACCATTGCCACGACTAGTGCTATCTAGATTCAGGATGTATCCATACTGTGAAAAACCAAAGGGATTTGAAGGAGATGTTTTTCTATAAAAGATTTTAATAAGAGCTGTGATCGTTCTGTTATTTAGCTTGGAAATGTGCCTACAGCCTGCCTCAACCCGTATTGTACAAATATGTTACACAGAACCATTATAGGTGCAGCTTCCAGCCTTGATTGTGTCTGGATGAAACAATCTGGTGAACATCATTGATGTACTGGAGATACGAGTAGTGAGAAAGGTCCCTTCTTGCAGCCTGTGCAGTGCTGTAGTCTGTTTACCAAATTGCTGGTAAACAAGTGGAGGGAAGAAAGAGAAGAAAGAAATTCTCTGAGACCAGACAGCCTTACTAATAATTTTCAAAACCTAGTTCAGTTTTAAAATCTTTACATTCTAGAGGACCTTATAACAGGAGTCTTTGATGATGTATATAAGTGTTTCTTATTTTTGTAACTGTCTTAACTCTGGTTTGTTTGTCTTCTCTTTTCTCCTAGTGGAGTTTTTATACTGTGATTTGGCTTCCATGAAGTCTATTCGGCAATTTGTGCAGCAGTTTAGAGCAAAGAATTGTCCACTCCATGTGCTGGTGAATAATGGTGAGTTCCATTCCTCTTTACACATCTGCAGGGGGGGAATGTGACAAACAGGCCTTTCTCCTATTGCTTCACATTTCAGATTGATTGTCTGAACCAAACAGCAGGTTACAGCATGGCTGCATTAACAGGGATGTCCTTCTAGGAGTTAAATTGCAATGTATGACAGAGCATCAGCTGAGCAGGTTGAGCACCTGGGTGCCACCTCTCCTTGTGATGTTATCACAGGCTGCTTGCTGTGTTGCTTAGCTTTCCAGCACTAAAACTCATGCAGCGGCAGCAGAATCTGAGCATTCCTTAAAACGAAGCAAAGCAAAGCAAAGGAAAAATGTTCTTCACAGCTGTAGAAAAGCAGCTTTTTCACCTTTGGACCTTCATCCCTTCGTGTTTGCCCTGTATGAACACATGCATTTACTGTGTCTGTGTGATGAACTGGATTCGGGCATCAATCTATTTAAAATATGATCTAGGAAAGTATCCAGAGACCTCAGAGCAGTCACTGCTTAGATCAAGCTGCTGCTGGAAGGTTGTCCATCAAGCTGCATCCTCAGTGGTCACAGAACAAATTAAAAGGACGATATTTATCTTGCAGTCATACAATTATCAAATGAATCTCATTACTCTTAGGGATTTAAACTTTGTTATGCAAATACTTGCCATCTAATTATTCTTTATAGCCACAATATTTTTTGGAAACTAGCCCGTACAATAATTTTCCTCCAAAGCCCTTTATGCCTAATGTGCACTTTCCTAAAGGGGAATTTTCTCCTATGTGTTTAACTAGGGGAAAAACCTGCCAGCAACAGTTTAGGCTTCTTTTAGAAGCTTTCTGCTGTTATATGCCACTGCTCTTGTTTTCCCAACTATTTGCATGTGTTTTTATTAAGGCATCCCAAAGAACACTTTCTTTTTCCTTGTGCACCCTTCTGTCCAGGAGAGGGCAAATGTTCTGCAAATAAATAATTTTGTTTACATTTGTTGATGCCTCAAAGAGCTCTCAATAAGGCAACTATTGCAATTAAAATTCAAGAATATTTTATTTCATGATTGATATGAAACATTTATGAAATGTTCAAGGAAGTGTTCATTTTTACGTCATTAATCAAAAAAGCCCATCATTTTTATTTTAATTGTGAAGAACTTAACGGTAATGGATATCTAATCCTGGCTACAAAGTTTCCCTTGTTGTACATGCCTTCTTTTAAAGATGCACAGTGCAAGCTGTTACACAGATAGGAACAAAATTCCATCTTGAACACTTACAATTTTGTGGTACAGAAGCTTTTGTGATCTTTGAGGGCAGCCCTAACCTCCATTAGTTTCGTACCAGAGCAAAAGGGCTTTGTTATAGGGCTTGGGGACAATGTGGGAGAAATGATGGGGCTCAAATAACAGTATGGATGGAAATCCTTCTGAAGTAAAGGGCTAGATTCTGCCCTAGCTGCTGCTGAAGCAGGAAGGACAAAATTGCAGTTAGATGAATCTTCTTGATCAAGAAACTAAGTTAGAAGTCCTTGTGTTTTCAAGATACATATCAAGAAAAAGAAATCTAATCGGGATGCAATGGCCTGAAGCAAAAACCTTTGCATCTTGTCTTGACTTTCCTTCAGTACTGAGCACATACAAGAAAAATGCTGATATTTGGGCTAATTTGTAGTCTTCCTCTTGTCACTTCTTCTCCTTTATGCAGCTGTTATGCAATGCATGGAGGAAGGAGATTCAGTCCATCGTGGGCTGCAGAGCTAGAGGCACTACCTACTCAAAAAACTCATTGCAGTCACCAGCTCTACTGCGTCCATTGCACAATCCCCTAGAAACAATTCTGTGTCCCTGGGAGGACAAGGCTTGCAGTAGCATTTTTTTATACGTACAAGTTATTGAGTATGTTTGTCAGAAGCACGTATGCTTATGGCTTAGAGAATTCCCAAAAAGACATGATGGATTTTCTTATGTTTCAATGTATGCACCTAGAATTGTAAACTTCTTAGTATCATGCAGTGTTTGTTATTTCTTACCAATCTTGAAGCTCTAGTGTTCTTGATTTCAAGAACATTTGTTTTCTGAAGGTAGAGCCTTCAGGCCAGACATCTGGTCAGTATATTTGTAGGAAGTCATATACTTTTAAGAGCCTGACCCAAAGTCTGTTGGGTATGATAGAAAGTTTCTATTAGATTTTGAAAATGAACTCTGTGTGGGCTCCATCTAACAAATATGTTCCTGTCTTCACAGAACCAAGAGTTCTATTAACAAAGACTGTATTCTTTTATTGTTTTTAATGTAAAAACAACATGAACTGTTACATTGCGTTTCTTTTCACAATATATAAATATTATTTAATTGCTTTAAGTTAAAATCTTTTATTGATTTATATAATCATGTCTCTATATAAGTGATCAATCCACATCATATCTCCATGACTATTTACTTTTGTGACAGTATATGATATTTTATGTGGGCTTTTGTGAGCCTAACAAAAACACAGTCATTTCAAGATGAACAGAGGAAAGTTCTAATGTTATGCAATAATGCAAATTATGTAATTAACATTGAAATACTATTAAATATAGGTGATTGGGAATGAATTGCCATGTTAGGTAAATGATCAGTACTACATGACAGAATTCTGCAATTTCTGAGGTTGCTGGTGATTTAAAAAAGAAAAATGTATCTGCTCTCCATCACTTGCTTGGCTCAAGACCTAGTTGGAAATTAATTTAATGCCAAACTCCTGAGTTGCAAAATATTCTCCCAGAGCAAGACACTCAGATCCCACAAGAACTTCAGTAAGGTTTAGGTATCCAATTGCTTCAGGCATTTTAAGAAGTCTAACATGAACATTCAGGGCTTTCAAAGGGGAGATTAGTGCACTGTAGTCACCACTTCTCTTTTTGCCATAGTTGACTTTAGCATATACATTTAACTTTCTAATTTCTAATTTGAAAGGAAAAATTTGGTTGAATGCACACATGATTTCAGCTGACGAATAAAAGCCTGTTGTTCCATTGCTTTGCTTTCTGCATCAGTAATGTGCGTGCTCAGCTCTTGTTTTTTTAAAATAAACAAAACATGTTAAAGATGCAAATATGGCATTACATAAACATCATTTAAAAAACCAAAATGTGCTAAAAAGGGAGAAAATGTTGTAACACCAAAATATAATGCATTATCTGTAGGGGGAAAAAAAAGTGAAAAAGAGGTTAGCTAAATAGCTACAGAAGGATAGATACAGTTTAGAAAACCTGACAAAAAGTCAGAATAATGCATCCTCTAGTCGACTAATTTGCAACTGGTGTCAATTTTTGTTGTTGTTGTCTTTTGTTTTTTGTTTTTTAAGGGCATTTAGCATATTACACCATTACAGTCGTGTGATCATCTAATACAGTCATTAAAATAGTGTTAGGATTTATTGAAAAGATTTCTATCTACATGAAGCTGCAAAAGGAACAGGTGTAAACATTGTGTAAAATTCCATAAGCAGTAGTCACTGATTCATGTGAGAGATAGTTTTTCTGAATTGAATCGATCATTTTTTTCTGTGTGCTAGAAGAATTTCCAGATGTCTTTTAGATAATGCTTTTACTTATGTGTTCTTTGCAGTACTTAATGACCTTAAAACCATGTGAGCTAATACCAAAATCACATCTCTAGCGATAACAGTATGGCTTCAGATACCAAATAGAATGTTGTCTAATTCATTAAAAATGACATAGCAACTACTTTCTCTGTTGCAGTTTACCAAATGGTTTGTAATTTTGCCCACAGAATAGAAAAAGACTGAAATATGACTACATTTAGTGAATGTCTTGGCATGCACACAAACAGAAAAAAAATCAGAGATTTCAGTACATTATTAGTCAATTGTAGGCAGATTACATTTAATAAACTTTGGTTTGAAATCTAGATGAGCCAATTTAAAATCAATAATTCTGAACTAGTGATTAATTCAGAGGTCCATAATCCATAATTTGTAGATCATCTGAGAAATCTCAGTCTCTTGACAGAATGCATAAGTCTCTCTAATCTTCCCTCTTTAGTGCCTACTGCAGAATAAAAGCTGAATCTGTAGATAAGCTTGTGAAATATCGATATATTCCTTTTGCTACCTACCTGCAATTCAGCCATGTGGAGTGTGGGCACAGTTCCTTGCATTGAACCATTTGCATGGAGAATTCCCATGGATGCTGTTGTGGTTGATCACACACAAAATTATTCTTGTGACTGAGTATTTGTAAGAACAAATCTTCAGAATAAATGTGAGATTTGAGGGTTAAGAACAAGGGAATGTAACAAAAGTAAGCAGTTTTGTAAGTTCTTACTTACTTACAGGTGTTATGGATTGGTTAGTTTTAAACATAATTGCATTATAGCAGTGGGATCCAGAATAGATCCTGTCCCACTGGATTAGGTAAGAGCAGCTCTCCTCTCTGTAGCAGCTGCAGGCTGCTAAGACTAGAAAATGGAGAGAAGAGAAACCAACCCAGAGAAGTGGAAAATCACTGTGGAACTTTCCCCGAGGAAAAGTTAGTGAGGAGGATTGCTGTTGACTCCAGCAGAACTTGGATTTCACCAGATATAATGCTTTTCCTCCAGTCATACAGGAGGCTATGGTGAACTCGGGAACTGGTCTCGCATGAATCTTATTCCACTGTCTTGATCACAGCATCATTTTTCATCTGTACACTGCCTTGAAGACAAATTAGAGCAATGTTTAATTGAAGATGAGGTGAAAGAGGAGAGAGAGGAGGACAGACAGGGAGAACAGGGAAAAGTAGTGGAAAATAAGCAGAAAGACAGCTGGTCCTTTGCCTGTTTGTGGTGGGTGATAGTAGATATCATGAGATATCTCTCTCATCTCTTTGGGAGATGTTTACAGCTGGAAAAGGTCATCTGAATTTGGTTTAAAATGAACCTACAGACGATGGGAAAAACTAGGAGAGTCGTAAGAACAGTAACATACAATATTAATTTGTTCTAGAAACAGATTTTTTTCAAGATTGATGACA